AAAAATGGATTGATTCCTAAGGTAGGGTAAGCCTGCATAATCCAAAAGTGCTATTGCAAACAAACCAGTATTAGCAGTAGAGTCTTAATGGTAATTTGTGCTCGCCTGCCCTCTCCTGCATTGTAATCACATGCATGTTTCCTCTGCTAGTTTTCAGGCAGACTTAGAATCGAGAAGTTCATCATGCTGTTCTCAGGGTTCAGGTGAAAAAAATTTAAAAATCCCAGATGTGGTTCTAGTGTTCATAAATGTCCTTTCAACTCCTTTGACATCTATGAGCCACAGGGACATAGTGAACTGGGCTCAAGCAGAGACCGAACTGAGATCCCTCCCCACCCTCCTCAATGACCCTTGGCTTCAAGAGATTTTCAGTGTCCAGGGCTATTGGTCCCATGGTAGATGGGACAGTCACCTCGTATTCTCTAGACCCACACTGTCCAAAAGAACATTCTGTGATAGAAATGGTTTATATCTGTACGGTCCAACAAGACAGTTAACCACATATGGCTGTTGAGTTTGGATGTGGCCAGCACAACTGAGAAAAATGCATTTTTTTGTACTGAATTTTGATTTTAATAGTACCTGAAGCAGTGGCTATCCTATCGGATAGCATGGCTCTAAGATCTGGGGTAACCAGCGCTTACTCTGACCTAATGGCTGGGGCGTTACGAGGTTACCAAGAGAAGACCACTAGACTCAACCTTAGCATGTGGGCTTACATAATTCCAGGCAGAAAAATTGAACAAAAGCTGGAGTATGGAAGTATTAGAGAGGCTGGCACAGTCAAAGAACCTCATCTGATTGTTTGGCTGGATGAGAAAGTGGGAGGAAGTAAATTTTCAGAGAAGCAAGATCTTAAAACCTCCTAAGCCCTGACAAGAAGCTTGGACTTACACCCTTTGACATGCACCTCTTTGGAGCATAGACAAATGGTCTAGTATCGAAATCCACTCTGAAATTAAGCCTTTCAGCCTGTCTTGCCAGGGAGGAACACCTTCAGAGTGTTGAAGGTGTTCCTACAATCCCAGCTGCTGCTCTCAGGTTGCTCAAGAACTCTGCCAAGTGGTTATCTGTGCCACTTGGTGCTGTCTCCAGGCCTTGGCACCTGCAAGAGCCGCTTCCTGAACACAGAAGCACGGTTTGGCATGGGATGCCCTGGGGTTGAACTGGGAAGAGATTTCTTCTTGTGGTCTCTGCAGTTGGCTACTGTGCAGTACTGGGGGCTGGAATGGATCCTCCTGGAGGACCTGGGTACAGGGGCACCTTCCCGCAGCCCCAGGCACCTGCCAGCCACTAGCTGCCGCAGTGTATATGGGGGCAGAGGCTTCACAATTAGACACCTAAGATAACTGGAGACCCAGGATTTAAATTTAGGTGCAGGGGGATGGCGCCTGGATGGCTGTCAGTTAAGTGGCTGCCTTTGCCACAGATCATGATGCCAGGGTCCTGGCATCCAGCCCCGCATCAGGCTTTCTGCTCAGTGGGGAGTCTGCTTCTCCCTCTTCCCCTCCCCACCACTCGTGCAAGTGCTCTCAAATTTTTTAATTTTTAAAAAATTCATAAAAAAAAAAAACGGGTGGAGTCTCCAGTCTTCCTTAAATACTTTTCCAAGGGTTAACTGGAAATCCATAAAAATCTATACCTCCATTTTTTGGTGTTTTTTTTTTTTTTCTTCCCAGTTGAAAAATTTAGCTATTTGGAGGGCAAGTCTTTGCACCATGGCTTTTCCTGTACTAAATTTTTTTTAAAAGAGTTTATTTGAGAAAGGGGGAGGGGCAGAGGGAGAAAGAAGCAGGCTCCCCACTGAGCAGGGAGCCCAATGCGGTACTCGATCCCAGGACCCCAGGATCATGACCTGAGCTGAGGGTAGATGCTTAACAGACTGAGCCACCCAGGCACCCCTCCTGTACTAAAATTTATAAAAATCAAAATACTGGTTTTCATGGACTTCTGATATTCTAAAACTGAACCAGGAATTTAACTTTTCACTTAGCAAAAAGTAGTTTGAAGAGTAGGAAGACTTCCTTGCAGAGATTGTCAAAACCTATATTAAAAAAAAATAACTAATAGGAGTGGTGTTTCTTTCTCCTGAATCTGGTATCTGCTTTGATTTTAATTGTTAGATTGGATCTTATTTTATCAAACTGATTCGTAGACTTCCTCAGGTGCATGGTAAGTCAGTCCATCTTCTAGTACTGATTTCCAGAAGAAACAGTGTGAACCAAAAAAAATAAATCTGCCCCATTATTAAATTTTGCCCTTGATGCCTGCAGTTGTTACTACTGTAATAACTGGGGGTTAAACTGTTAGTTTGACAACCTGTAAAGCTCTTTATCATAGAAAGCAAGAAAAATCCATGCCGAATTACCTCAGGAATATTATTGATGACCTAAATGTCGTTTTCTGTTTTTATTACTTTTCATTGTATTTAGCTTGTAATTCAAACCTCTTTCTAATTAATTTGGTTTGGCTCGGTTGGAAATAGAAAAAGCTAACTATCTAATAGGTGACACATGTCGCAGAGAAACCTTACAACATCCCCATTTCCCCCAGATCAATCAACCATGAAACAAGTTGCCAAACTTGTGTTTTTCTAGCAAATTCTTAAGAAATACAATAAAATTAAATTTGTCTAGTCCAAAGAAACGGGGAGAAACATGAAGGCGCAAGAGTGACCCCGAAAGCCCGGTTTTATCTAGCTGTAATCTCTTTCCTAGTTGTTAAAATATCCCGAAGCACTCGATCATGTTGCGTTTTAATTTTAGAGCCATGTGTTAGATTAGCAGAGTGCACATGTTCCTGATTTGAACTTCTGGTTCCCCGGCTGTTAACCAGAACTCTCGGCTGGCTCGGACAAGGTCTCGAGTAGGTCAAAGGCCTAGAGCCTACATCTTGGTTAGATCTTACCCGCATGGAAGCCAGAAGCCTGGGTCAGGGCAACCATGCCTAGGACGGCCCCTGATTAAATTAGGCCTCCATTTATCAACTACACAGAGAGTACACTTAACCTTTCAACTCGAGTTTTGATGGATCTTTATTTTCAAACAAGAAGGTGGGTGTCTTTCTGCCAGAGTCTTAGTCCAACAGCAATGAAGTGTAACATGCGCCTTTTCCTGATTTCATCCACCACCAGGTTTAAACAGCAACAGCGTTGTAAGATGTACCCTGGGAAGTACTGGATCTGTTTTTCAAGTGTATAAGTAGGATATTTTGACATTTATGGAAAGCTACAATTTTCTATCCCTTTCATTTTTTTTATCGTTGAATATTTTCCTTTGGTTTTCTTATTTTCTCATTTAGTTCAGTAGATGAGTGCTGTTTTGTCAATTAATAGAGCCATATTCTGAAAATCTGTATGTGAAAAGAACGAGAAACTACTTTTAGAAATTTGATTTCTTTTAGTTCCTCTAAGTATTTGGCTTAAATATTACTTTGAAACATTAATTCACTTCTTCAAAATGCATTGTTCAGTTCTCTGTGAAATTCCCGTTAAACTTCTAATGAGACAGATTAATAGTTTTAGAATAGGTTTTGGGTGCCCCCCCCCCAGTTCTGTCGACTCCCTTTCTCCTGAGAAGCCTTTGATGCCTCTGCTGGGACAGATTTAGGATCTGCCGGGGACCTCCGTCATCACACCCCTGTCTCTGAATAGCATCCTGGCACGGCAGTGGTGATGGGACTGAGGCATGAGGCATGGTCTGGATCCACTGGAAGGAATTCCGACTTCTTGTTCATTCACTTATTCACTAGGTCCTCATTGAGTGTCTCCTTTAGGCACAGGGGGGTTGGGTGAAGTAGGGGGTGAAAAGTTCCTGCCCTCTTGGAACTTCCTAAATTCTTCATCAGTGTCCTTGTCCTATGTCAGTACAAGGTTACATATAACTACATGCTGTAGCCTTTAAGATAAAATTATTCTTGGTGTTAAAAGGGTTGGTTTTCCTGTCATTTACATTGTTTCTGCAGTACGCTTGTTCAGTTAAGTAAACTCATTTCATGTGACCTCTATAAATCCCAGCCCAGAATGCAGGTTCAACGTGGGGAAAGGCAGCAAAGAGCCTTCAGGGGGAATATTCTTTCCCCAAATAAAAGATAAAATGAACTCATTTTAATTCTTTTAAAGTGGTTGCCAATCACCCCAACATAGTGTAGCTCTTCTTTCCCTCGGTAATGTAAAATCTAAATCTTAGAGCCATTTTGAACCTTTTCTAAAACAGGTGGTTTTGCCAGTTCACTTTCATTTGGAAATAGTTTTAAATTTCCTATTACATTTATGAACTTAAAATTTCAAGACTGCTTCATGCTTTGCTCTTTTTATCTCCATTTTGATGCCAAACTTCTGATCTTGAAGTTCTATCATTCTAAAGGTTATTCTGAATGTGATATTTACCGGAAAAAAGATCACAGATCATCATTATCTTTATCATTGTTGATAGGCACATTTTTATGGTGTTTAATTTACCGAATATTTGATAGGTCAATAACGTGTACTGAACCCTAAGTGTGAACACAGTACAAATATCTTCATAATTGTGGCTAAAACTAGTGATGGGGGAAAAAACATGTGCTTAATTTTTTGTAATTTTCTGTCTCTAAATAATTCCCTGTACCTTCACAACCAATGAAACTCCCTTTTTCACTTTTGCTCACTTTTTGTTGGACAACCTTTCTTGAGCTACTCCATTGATTTTTTTTTTGATCTGAAAATAATTCATTCCCTCTTTCCACCCTTATTTTTTTAAAAAAAAAACTATTCAAAGCTTCTAACTACCAAGACCATACACTAATTCAGACACCTAACCAACATTCAGAAAACATTTATTGAGCACCTAGTGTTCGCCAGGCTCTATTCTAGACATTAGGTCTAAGTCTTAAGATTTTTTTTTTTTAAGGTGATTGAAAAAGTATGGTTCGATGATCCAACTGTTTGTACTGGGGAGGCCTCTCGACTTATTCCTTCCAGGTCTTCGCTGGCTTTTTTTTTTTTTTTTTTAATGTTTCAGCCCCTTGTGGAGAGACTGCAGTGTTCTGCATGCCTGGGAACATAATCCTGAATACCAGGTGCCCAGTGACCACAGGCCTAGCTGGGACAGATTGTAAGACCCCCCCCCCCAACCCCTTGCTCTTTCATGTACTTGTTCTGAGTTGTTGGCTTCTTCATAGTCCATTTTCTGTAGCCTCATACCCAGTCCTGTTTGGAAGTTCTGAAGCCACTGACTCCCACAGGTATCTGACTGGGGGGCATAGGAATGAGGCTCACCTTGGGCCAGCCTGGGAAGCAGCTTGAAGAAGTAGAGGCTCCGTGTCCTTAAAAATGTTTCACTGGGTCTGAAACTCCTTTTTGTGGTTGTTTGCCTTTTCATCCCCAGCTTACCCACTTTTCCTTTTGTTTTGCCTTTTAAAATATTTTAATAAGCCCCCTTTCCATCTTCATAGCCTCTGCAATCATTTTCTTCCTCTCCTTGTGCTTATCCCAGAGAGTGTCTATGAGACATGGTTGTGAAATGTTTCTGAGAATTAATCAAGAACACCTTGAGGTTTTCCAGCTTAATTTGTATATATTTATCTTGGAATATAGTACACCTCTTTCTAGAATGCAGTCTTGTAGTTGTTTGGATGTTGGCAGGTTTTCGGGGTGGGAGGGGAAGTTATTTTTAGCTATAGTGATTCACTTTGTACGGTGTAGTCTGTCCTCCAGTTGATTTACTGCATATGGAATCAACTCACTCTAAGTACACTCTACAATTTCAATGGTTTACAAAACCAATAAAAATATAAAATGCCGAAATAAATATTTAAGATTCCTTTTCTGCATTGTGCTAAAGATATGATGAAAATAAATTTTAAAAGAAAGAATTTGCACTTGAGGAATTCAGGTAAAGTCATGAAGCTATAATTAAAAACAGTTGTAGGGGCCAAGTAAAATTTGGAGGAGATAATTAAATTTTACTATTCGTCTTATTTTTATCTTCTATTCAATTTAAACAAAGCCAATCTTGATGGACTATAAAATACACCATATGTTGTCATTTTAAAATAAAGTTCTGTTTTTGGCATGTTTGCCGTGTGGCTGTATGCCACACCACTCCCTGCATCTGAATCCTTCTCAACACAGGGCTACCAATCCATTAGAGTCCCACATGATGAACCTGCATGCTATCTGATTTTTAGACGCATCCCCGGCCTTACTCCTCCACAGACCTGCGCTAGCTGGGACCATTGTCTTCTCTTACAAGCCAGACCTCTTCATTAAAGGCCATCTCACAACCCACTGTATACTGAAGTTCACATTGTTTCTTCAGTGTTAAAATCTCACTCCCTACAGAAAGCCTTTCCCAGAGACTGTGGCCCCAAGCAGGAACTCCGTGGTTCCCAAACCTGACTACCCATCAGAATTAATGGAGATACTTGTTTAAAATATAGACCCCGGGGGAACCTGTGTGGCTCAGTCAGTTGAACACCAACTCTTGGTTTCAGCTCGTGGGCCGTGAGATAAGAGCCCCTCATCAGGCTCCACACCAAGTGGGAGTCTGCTTGAGATTTGCTCCCTCTGCCCCTCCCCCCACCTGTGCACCAATGGAAGCAAAAAATATATAGCCCCCCCCCCCCAAAAAAAATTGTTTTTAAAAAATGCAGGTCCTGGAACCTCCTCTAGACCTACTCAATTAGATAGTCTGGGTCTAAGACCTAGAAGAATGCATTTTTTCTGACCCCCCCCCCCCCCCGCTCACTTCTGATACAACTATCTGGTATTCTCCATTGTCGCTTTGGGAACCACTGGTGTAATGGAAAGAACCAGTAATTCTGGAGTTTGTTAGACCCAAGTTCAAATCTTAGCATCTGTGCTTACTAGCTACCCACCTTATTAGACCTTGGGCCTCAGGTCCAGCAGACTGCAAAATTCCAGTCTCTTTACCAAAGAATTCGGGAGGGGAAGGAAGCGATATAAGACATCACCCAACTAAGCTGGTATATCAGATAGTGTGACTATCATCATCTGAAGGTGGTCCAGTGAAACAGACTGCTTTCCTGAGCGGCATATGGTAGCTGGTCTCATTTATGTTTTGGTCATACTATACCGAATATCAGCAGCATTCCTTACTCCCCTCTCTTGAAGTGTAAACAAGTTTTGTCTTTGATCCAGAACTCAGTCATTTGTGTTTAGAATGATTCCAAATGGAGAGTGTGTCTCAATTTCCTCTACATTAAAGCACTTCATCACGTGAGTTAAGACAGGGAGCATTGTGTGCCAATTTGAGACCTGAGATTTCAGTGTCCTTTAAAGATTTTTTTTTCTCCTCATTCAGAAGAAGAGACTCCTAGAGTCTTAGAACTAGAAGGGACTTCAGAAACCATCTCCTGTAGCCCCCTTACCTGAGTTCATGCCAACAAATGCTTGGATCAGAAAAATCCCATTAGCTGCCTAAGATGAGCCGGGAAACATAGTTGAAGAGAGACCTATGTAAACCAAAACTACAAGGCATGTTAAATTGTTTTAAACTGTTGGTTTAGCCAATGGCTACAATCACGTATGGTATAATTAATTACTGTACTTAGAATCCTATCAAACAGGATTAAACAGGTGGATTCCTTTACAAGCTCCCACATTCAGACACACTTCTACTCCTAATTTCTCTCTGTAGCTTTTGAAAAGGAATCCTTCTTGGCATCTGGGGGACTCAGTTGATTAAGCATCCACTGTTCGTTTCGGCTCAGGTCATGATCTCAGGGTTGTGAGACCGAGCTCTGTACTGGGCTCTGCACTCAGCGTGGAGTCAGTTTGAGATTCCCTCTCCCTCTGCCCCTCCCCCTGCTCCCATGTGTGCACTCTTTCTCTTTAAAATAAATAAAATCTTTGAAATGGAATTTTCCCCACCCTCGTAAGTTGGTTTGATTATCAGCAGTGAACAACCTTGAAAATTTAGTTGTGATTAACCTCATTTGCTAAAGCAAAAAGCAAAATCTATTTGTTGCTCATTAAGTACTTGTTATGATAGGGATTCTGGAACAGTGATTTTATATACATTAATTCTCTTTATAACCTCGTATTAATCTTTATAATCATCCTTAGAGTAGATGCTATTTCTGTTTGACTCAAAAGAACTGAAGTGTGCTCAAGCTCTGAACTAGTGTCTGAGCTAGGAATCTAGTGTAGGTCAGTTAATGGCATTAGACTAGGATTTAGGCTGAGCTTCCTAAAATTTTGAATGAAGTATCAAAACTATGAACTTTGCACTTCCGTAAAACTTCACCTACAGTTTCAGAAAATTCAAAGACTCCCTGAAACCCATGCTACTCCCTAAGTATAAATCTCTAAGTCTTGCTTGATAGTAAAGATTGCTAAATAAGTCAAACAATTTTTTCATGTACTTCACATCTAAAATGGGAATAGGAAGGAATAGTCTAGTAAATGATACCTGTATTCTCTTGGGTTTAAGTGTATGTTACAACTGAGAGTTCAGGTTCTTTTTGAGTAGGCAGACACCCTCCTTTTTTTTAAGACTTTTTTTTTTTGAAGGTATACTCTAGCACTCATTTTTGCTTATAGAAATAAGAGTGTACGGGTGCCTGGGTGGCTCAGTTGGTTAAGCGTCTACCTTCGGCTCAGGTCATGATCTCAGGGTCTTGGGGTTGACCCCCACGTCAGGCTCTCTGCTCAGCGAAGGAGTCTGCTTCTCCCTCTGTGTGCTCATTCACTCTCTCTCTAGTAAGTAAATACAATCTTAAAAAAAAGTAATAGGATTAAATACTAGGCCGAAGAGGGACTTTATAGATCATCTAGTACAGCCTTCTTGTTTACAGATGAGGAAAAAATGACCCCAAAAGTCTGAGACTTACCCAGTGTCACACAGCCAGTTAGAGGCAGGGTCAGACCTGGAGTCCAGAACTTCAGATATTTATTCTGGCACTTTTTCTAATATACCCAATAAACCAGTAGTTCATGGCCTACGCATCTAAAGAAACAATAGGTACCCAGTTTACATTTTGAGTCCATTGCTTTTCAAACAACTGGAACATGTTCTTGCTTGATTGAAAATGAGACTATAAGGAGAGACTTAGCACAGATATCCTTTCAGCCCTATGAAAATTCCAAAAGCTGCTGGAATACACAGTCGAGGGTTGTGATGCCACCATGAGATTGGGAATGGTGACATGTCAGATCAGAAGCTCAGTAGTCTTTACTCAGAGGGGTTACTCCTTTGCGTCTTCATCCATGAATGTATATCGGGCACCAAACTGCTGGGCCCTGCATGTGGGCCCAGGAACACAGGGACACCGAAGATCCAGTCCCCATCTTCAGAGATCTCAGGCGTGCACAGGAGGAGTTGGTGGACAAATCCAGCCTGTGGGCCTTCCGCATCTCACATAGTGAGGGATGCAGCGCGCTGAACACCCTCTAGGGTTCCAGAACGTGTCCTGGAGACCTTCCTCCTTAGAAGCCTGGCTTCTTATTCCCTCAACAGGTTTTTTTTCCTTAAACTACTGTTTGTGTTAGCAGAGGATTGGCCAGTGTACATGGTTTTCCTTTGACAAGGATTCCTCTCCCAGAAGTAGTTACAGACCACAACCAGACCAATGAAGAAATAGGAGCTTGTTTTCTTTTATGAGGCAAATAACTACCAACCCTGGCTTTTCAAGGGTGTCTCCAGTTATTTTAATGGACAGTGAAAAGTTGCCCAAGTAAAAGTAATTCTCATCACTCAGTCTATAGATCAAATATATATCATGATAAACACCACTGTAAAAAGTTAGCGGTATGACCAAAACAAATCACATGGAGATTTGACTGCACACAAGTGGGTGGGGTTATTCTGTTATGTCAGCAAAACTGATGCAGCAACCATTTGTTTTACAGGAAAAATGGATGAAAACTGCATTTTAATACCACTCATTCACTTCTAGCCAATCATCACTCTCAATAATTCAGCATCTTCTTCAAAATGATTCTGTCCTAAGCTGTGAAATGGTAATGACATTTTGAGATTTTTGAGTTTTTATATTTTTAAGTCGCAAACAACTCTTGAACCAGAAGAGGAAGAGAGCACGAGAGCAAGCCCACTTGTGTGTGTGTTGATCTGAACTAATACATTACAGG